CCACAGCACAAAATAAACCGAAAAGCAATCAGCTGTTATTAACACACTAAAGAGGTGATGCGGTCCCGGCGCTCCCACCGCGTTCACAGCCCTCATGGGCTTTTACAAAACAGTCTGAATCGAAGTCTTAAATGCGCAGATGGAGACTCGGCCTGGCGAGGCCTCTCTGACGGGAGGAGGGAGGGGGGACCCAGCAAAGGCGGCCCCACAGCACCTCTGCATGGGGGGCACGGCCGCTGTCCCGCGGGCCGCGCGGCTCCTCTAGCCGCGCTCCTCTTTACATGAGGGTAAAGGCGAAGCGCTGGGGCCCCGCGGGCTGCACCGAGTGAGGTGAGGGCCGGCCCGGCCTGGCCCGGGGGGCCCCGCGGGACGGGCAGACCCCGCCGCTCACCTGCGCCGGCACCGCGCCGCTCCCGCCAGCACTTCCGCCCTGCCCCGCCGCCGCTACTTCCGCCCGGCCGGCGTCACTTCCGCCCTCACCCCAACGCGCCGTCCCCGCGGGCTGCGGGAGGAAATTCCCGGGTGGCTTGAGCCGGGCTCGTACAGCCCTAGGGCGGGTTCTCAGCGAGGGTCTGCCCACACAGAAACACATTCATGCAAACCCAGGAGCTGTGCCTTGTCACTAGGAGAGGGTGTGACGTGCCCGACGCTGCGGGTGTTTCAGGAGAGCAGACACACAAAGCTCTGGGAACACAGATGCGATTTATTACTCGTGTCTGATCGCCTGTTTGTTATAAATGCCAAGCGTTATTACAAATTACTATTTGGAAAGCTGTTGGAACTTGCGGCAGCTTTGATTTTAATGTTGGTCACTGATTGCAGTGCTCAGTCGCCTTTCAGCCTTTTGACACAATCACAGAATCTCAGGATGGGTCAGACTGGAAGGGACCAGAGTGGGTCATCTGGTTCAACCTCCCTGCTCAAGCAGGCTCATCCCAGAGCACGTGGCACAGGATTGTGCCCAGATGGTTTGATTCCTGAATATCCCCAGTGAGAGAGATTCCACACCCTCTCTGGGCAACCTGTTCCAGTGCTCAGTCACCTGCCCAATAACGAAATCCTTTCTCATGTTCAGGTCAAACTCCCCATGGTTCAGTTTCTGCCCATTGCCAATTGCCCTATTGCCCAGCACCACTGAGCAGAGCCTGGCTCTATCCTCTGACGCTCTCCCTGCAGACACTGATAGACATTGGTGAGATGAATAGGGATGGGACATTGCTGAGATGAATTCTCTGCACATGGGAACAGGCACAGATTCTTACAGGGGCTTGGACTGGACCAGGTAGGCCCACAGTTGGAGAGACTCACCACAAGTGCCCCGATGCCATAGGAAATGAAGCACTTTTCCACTGGGATTTTTTATCTCTTCAGAAAACTAAAATACTGCAGCAAAATTACATCCAGAAACAAGTTTTATCCATTATGAACACTGTAAGCACTTAAATTTATAGATTTCAGTTCATCTTCACGCCAGACAAGAGAGCACCACTGATTTTACAAAAGGCTTTGGCAGATGCAGTGGTGCAAGTAAAAGGCCTCTCTCTCACACTCTGAGGCTTTGCTGGGGCAGAATTATGAATGATTTCCCTTGGATACCATGAAGGCCTTTCAGTTCTCATGCTTGGACAGAAGGGCAGAGAGGCCTTGGCACTGGTTGTGTTGCAGCATGTTTGGGTTAACCGTGGGTCTGTTTAGACTGACAGCCACTTGAGGTTGAGCTGTTCTGACTCCAGGGAATTTAACAACTAGTTGTAAGGTCACTTTGACCTTACTAATGTTTGGTATGGAAATGGCATAAATTAATTCAGTGAAAAAAGATATCCTAAAGGTGTACAGGATATTTAATCCTATGTGTTTGTGAGTCAATCCACTAAACTAGATCGTCTGAGTCATGAAAGGGCCTGTTTGAGTTATTGTTCTTCGGAGTGGTCCGCCCATCTTTTCCTCTCAAACCCAGGAGAGTTGTCTATGGAGACATAACAAATTATTAGCTGAATTTTGCTTTGCTTAAGTAGTCCCCTGATTATCATCATAAAAAACATTATCTTTGTCCCTTGCTTTCTGATGAAGCCAGCCTGTACTTTTCTGTAACAATTCTCATGGAAAAGGGCGCACTGAACTTTGCAAAACTAACACATGTTATTTGAGCTATATCTCACCTGAAACTACTCTGAGGGTCAACCAAACAGAACTGGTCAGCACCCACGGACAGTAATCCTATCCTGAGAGTGGGATGGCACTCCAGCCCAACAGTCATACTCATTTTTCCCCTGGTTTTTCTCACACAGGCTGCACAGCTTCTGCGGCCGCACGCAGTGTCTCTTAGCATGAGATGAAATGAGGAAATAATCTTTTTTGCCAGAAAGACATAAAATATACTCAGAATATATTCAATTTTAATTACCACAAGACAGGAATGCTTCCCATCAAAACTCCCCAGAGTTTTATGTATCTTTTCTTCATTCCATTAATTATTTACCTTCAGTTTTAATAATACAGTTAAAGGCACTATATATAGCTTATGCTCTATCAATAAATCATGCTCATGTATCTTCATATTTATCCTATAAATTATAAGTACCAACACACTTGCATGAATCCACTAAGCAATTCTGGCAAAGAAATTCCCACCAGAACATCGCTAAGAGTCTTTGGAGGTAAAC